GATGATAGATAGATAGATAGATAGATAGATAGATAGATAGATAGATAGATGATAGATAGATAGATAGATAGATGATAGATAGATAATAGATATGATAGATAAATTTAACCAGAAGAAAACTACAAATTTCTGTATGGAACAATTAAATTAACAATAAATACATTTTAAAAATCTGCCTGAAAATAAGAGAATTAATATCTTCAAAGTGATGAGAGAAAATAACTCTCAATGTAGAATTCTATCCTTGAACTAAGGTTATATTCCAGAATAAGAGAAAGATAAGGTCATTTCAAGGAAACAAAAAACAAACAAACTGAGAGGGACTACTAGTGAAAAGTCACTAAGGATATACTTCAGCAAGATAAAAGTTAGGCCCAAAGAAAAAAGTGAGGGAAAACAGGGCAAGACAAAATGTAAAAAATTGAAATTGATAACTATAAGTGAGCATTTGATGGAATAACAATATTCATAATAAATAGTGATTGTTAGCTAAGGAGTGAAATAAAATACCACAGAACATAATATAGAAGATAGAAAAGAAGATAAGTAATTCAAAAGCTCTATGAGGTAAATTCTTCTGACAGAATCCAATAAATAGTTTTTGAGGCAAGATGCACTCTGATATGTAAAGCAAAAAAAAGCAAGTCACCGGAAAAAATATAACAATCCTGATCCTTTATACATCTAAAGAATTGCAGCCTCAGAATACATAAGCAAAACCTAAACAAGGTGGCTGCCTGCTGAAAGAAAAGATTTAAATACAACTCAAATTCTAACATAATAGACAAAATGTCTGGGATGTGTTTGAAAATACTCATTATACTAAGAACAAAGAAAATCACTACTCTGGTGAGAAAAGACACTCAACTATTGCTAATACTGAGATGAATTCGAAGCCTGGTTTATCTGACAAGGATTTTGAAGAAGGCATCATAAAAATACTTCAAAGTCAGAGCCTCTTAAAAAAAAATAAATAGAAAAATATCAGCAAAGAAATAGAGGTTATAAAAAAAAACAAAGTAGGAATTACATAAATTAAAAAAATGTAATAACATAAAAAAGGTCACTGGATATGTTCAATAGCAGAGTGGTGATGACAGAGGATAGAAATCAGTGAACTTGAGGGCAAATAAATCTGCCACTCAATCTGTACAAGAGAGAAAAAACAGACTGAGAGAAAAAATGAACAAAGCCTCAGGAACCCATGGAACTATAACAAAGATGTAATATGTGTGTTAGCGCAGTGTCAAGATGAGGGAAAAGGGAGTGGAACTGAAAGAAAATTCAAAGAAATAATAATAATATTCAAAGAAATCAACTTTCTAAATTTGGTAAAGGAAAAATCACACAAATTTAAGAAGCTGAGTAAAACAGGATAAACCTGAAGAAATCCTCTCCAAGGCATATCATAAACTTCAGAAAACTAAAAATAAAGAAAATCCTGAAAGCAGCCAAAGGGAAATGATTAATTGCCTATAGGAGAACACCAATTTGAGTCACAATAGATTACTTACCTGAAACCACAGAGGCCAAAAGGAAGCGGCACATTTTTCAAGTGCTAAAAAAAACACTAACTTTAAATCTTAAATCCAGCAACAATATCCTTGAGAACAAAGAAGAAAAAAAGACATTCTCAAAGAAAAACTAAAAGAATTTCTCATGACCAGACCCATTCTTAATTATTACAAGAAGAAATTTCTTCAAAAAGAAAGAAAGTGATAAAGTAAATAATCTTGGAGCATAAGAGAAAAAGATGGAACAATGGAAAGAGAAGATGTATGGGTGCATACAATAGATTATCCCTTTCTTCATGAATTTTATAAATCTTATTTGATGAGTGAAACAAAAATGACCATACAATCTGATGCTCAAGATAATATTTAAAAGTGGAGAATGTGAAGGGACCTAAATGGAAGTGAGGTTCCCGCCTTTCACTGAAGTGATAAACAGTTATTACCAGTAGACTATAAAATCTCGCATGCATGTTGTAACTGTGGTACACCCCCCAAAATATGCCACGTCCTACTCTCTGGAACCTGTTAATATGCTACCGTGAGGAGCGAAGGATAATGAAGGTATCAAATGGAATTTATGTTGTTAATCAACTGACTTTAAAACAACGAGATCACCCTAAATTATCCAAGTGGGTCCAATGTAATCACACAAGAATTGCAATCACAAGACCTTAAAAACAGCAGAAGACAGAATAAGAGAATATGAAAAATGGATGCGATGCAGAAGAAAGGTCAAAGGGACTGTTGCGGAAGACGAGGCCACAAGCCAAAGAATGCAGTCTCCAGAAGCTCAAAAAGTCAAGGAGACAGATTCTCCCCTCGAGCCTCCAGAAGAGAATGCAGTCCTGCTGACATCCTGATTTTGCACAGTAACCCTTGTTTCAGGCTTCTGACCTCCATAGCCGTGCAATACTAAATTCCTATGCTTTAAGCCACTAAGTGTGTAGCGATTTGCTACGGCAGTGATAGAAAATAAAGACAGATTTTGGTATGAAAACTGAGATGGAGTACTATGCCGCTGTAAAAAAGAAGGATCTCTTACCCTTTGGGACAACATGGAGGGACCTGGAGAGTATTATGCTAAGAGGAATAAGCCAGTCAGAGAAAGACAAATATCACGATTTCACTTATATGTGGAATCTAATGAACAAAATAAACTAACAAAGAAAACAGATCCAGAGACATGGAAGCATACAACAGGCTGAGGACTCTCAGAGGGAAGGGGGGTGGGTGAGGTGGGAAGAGACTAACCAAAGAATTTATTTGCATATGCGCACAACCCAAGGACACAGACAATAGTCTGTGGAGGCCTGGGGGCTGGGGAGGGGGGAGGAGCCTGCAGGAGGGGGTCAATGGAGGTAACAAAAAAAGGGGACATCTGTAATACTTTCAATAGTAATGATAAATTTTTAAAAAAGAGTAAATACTTTTGACCTTGCAAAATCCTTTGTGAAAAAGATTAAAAGACAGTCAAGTCACAGACAGGGAGAAAATATTTGCAGATCAAATATCCAACAAAGGCTACTATCCAAAATATATAAAGAGCCCTCAAAATTCAACAGTTTAAGAAAATCCAATTGGAAAATGGGTAAAAGACACAAAAACACATTATGCCAGAGAGAATGTATAGAAAATATATTCAATATCATGTCGACATGGCAACAAAAATTTAAAACCGCAATAAGGTATCACCATTTGCTTATCAGAATGAATAAAATTTTTAAAATAGTGACAGCACCAAATGCTAGTAAGAAATCAGAGGAACTGGATCACTTTGCTGAGAGGAATGTAAAATGGTACCTCCACTCTGAGAAGCACTTTGTCAGTTCCTTCTAAGGTTAAATCTGCAATTAGGTCTCACCCAGCAATTGCAGCCCTGGGCCTTTACAATAGGTAATAAAAACTTAAATTCACATGAAAACTTGTATGCAAATATTCATAGCAGCTATATTAATAATAGCCAAAACCTCAAAAACATCCTAATATTCAACAGATGAATGATGAAACCGGCTAGAGTACATACATACCATGGAATACCACTCAGCAATGGAAAGGAAGGAACTATTGCTTGCTAAACATGGATGAATCTTTAGAAAAAGGCCAATTAAAAGGTCACATACTGAATTATTCCCTTTATGTAATAGTTTCAAAATAACATTTTAGGAATTTATTAATGGATTATAGGGGTTAGTAACAGCAGGATGGAAGGAAGGTGGTATATGTGGTTATAAAAGTGCCACCCAAGAGATATTTGTGATAAGACTGTTTAATATTTTCACTGTGGTGATAGATACATAGCCCTGTATGTGTGACTACAATGTGCAGAGCTAAACACACACAGCACACATACACACACACATAGTCACAAGTCTGAGGGGAAATATAAATAAGATGTATAGATTATGTTAATGTCAATATCTTGGTAGTGATACTATATTTTATGAAATTTATACCATTGAGGAAAACTGGATAAAGTATACACAGGGTCTCTCTGTATTATTTCTTTCTTTCTTTTTTTTTTTTTTTTAAATATATCTTTTATTGATTTCAGAGAGAGGAAAGGAGAGGGAGAGAGAGAGACAGAAACATCAATGATGAGAGAGTCATTGATCCAGCCCGCAACCAGGGCCTGTGCCCTGACCGGGAATCAAACCCCGATCACCTAGATCCTAGGTTGACGCTCAACCGCTGAGCCACACCCGGCCGGGCTCTCTCTGTGTTATTTCTTATATCTGCATGTAAGTCTAAATTTAGCTGGATAAAATTTTAATTTAAAAAATACACAGGCCCAATTCTGGATAGTAGAAAACATCACTAATGTTTAAAGAATTATAATATCTTATAACTAATACTAACTGTGACTGCAAAACATTGACAACAACTGACCTAAACATATTCTTAAGTATGAGAATTGATTTTAAATATTTATCACCCAGTAAGCAAGGTCAATGACTGTGACTAGAAACTTTTTTCACAAGATTCTTTATATAACAGGATTTACTTTTATTTATAAACCACTTCAAGCTTTTCATCTAAACAGAATAATTTTGCTTTCTTAATAGATGTCATTATTTAGTACATTTCTAAAAGAATTTCTCTTGTTCTTTAAATTATTTTCCTTTTATCTAACTCTAAATATGTTGGGGAAATTATTATTTATTTGCACATTCTTTCATTTACATAGCTTAGTTTTGGTTCCCAAAAGTGTAAAATAGTGTAGATAGATGTCTTAAACTCTAGCCTGTTATATGTTGACATAACTCTAAAAAAGGGAAGGATCATCATGCAAATTTGGGGGGAAACAAGGACCTTGATTGTTTCTTTGGGGAAATATTAGCCAAATCATATGTTCATTTTATCTAAAAAAAAAAAAATCAAGCCTTTATTTAAATTTGTATAACAGACTAACAAATTTTAAAGTTTATTGAAATCGCATGATGAAATTTGAATGGGTAGAGAGAACATTTTGGATAAAACTTAAATTAGTGTATAAAACCAATCATTTGTTTGTTAAAAATGTTAACTTACTACAGAATGGACTCTTGGCAGCAGTATCCAAAAACACAGTGGTCCTAAGAGATGTTCTCATTCTTTCTATTAAAACATCATTCCATAGCTCTGCTTGATAACCTGAGATTTGAGAAATAGAACATTAGCAGTTAGACTTACATCAAAAAGCATGAAAAAACTTCAAATTCCTAAAGGAACTAAAGCATCAATGTATAAGAATAATATTATTCATGGATTTTTATAACTGAAAACCTTTCAAATAATTTCACATTTTATTCAATTACAATAATAAGTCTTAAATTTAAGATTTACAAATAAACCTTCTCCCTGGAAATCTTATCAGAACTCAACATACTCCATATGTCTGCAGTCCATTTGCAGACATTTTTACTATTGTATTACAAGTTCAGAATTTTGCTTGTAACTCTTTTTAGTAAATTCAGCAGAATAAATCTATTAGATATAACTTGAACACTAAATTTAGCTCAATGAGTACAGTCCCCATACTTCTATATATACATTCATCTAAATATGATGTGCATATATATACGTTATATATAATATACAGAATAGATAGCATCTCTATATATTAGGCATTACATATATTATATATATTTTAGATACATACATTATATGTGCATTAGGAATATGTATTACACAAACATGTATATATGTAAGGTGCTTCCCACTTCATGTATAGGTCTGTTCCCACTTTGCTACCTCCAAAATTGAGACCTGAGTACAGTAGAAAGGATACCTAACTGGGAATTCAGAGGTTTAATGCTTGTTCTCACTTGTGCCCTGGAGCCATCCATATGTTCACAGGAGGTCACAATTTTCTTATTTATGTGGAAAAGCAATGGGACCAGAAAAGCAAGCCCTGCATAAAGTGTGAAGAAAACGATTTCTACAGACTGTCTTATGGACTGACGGGGCCTGGCAAAGCCTGCTTCTTTCCTGCCTCTCCGGAGCAATTTTCTGTAAGTTAGTCCAGTGGTACCTCGGTTCTCGAACGTTTCAGAACTCGAACAGTCTTCGGGAAAGGGTCACATCAGAAAACCGAGGCACCCCACTAACCCCTCCTGCTGGGGGAAACCGCGGCGGCCCTTTATTCAGCCTTTGTAATCGGTGCCCGTTCCACTGAGCCGCTTCGGCTTCGGAAACATTTCTGGCAGATCTTGTCATGACACTGATCAGATGTTTACATGCTCGGGACATGCTCCAGGCCTGCTATTCGCTTTAAAAAACCCTGAACAAACAACCTTTGAGACTCTTTCCCGCTCTAACATTCTACTTTTATGTGGAATCTTTTTTTTACTAAATGTCCCACTGGCAGGCTTTAGTTCTCAGAAATGACAATACTTAACTGCTCTCACCAAGTTTTATAGATTTAGAAGGTATGAACCACATATGAGTCATGTCTCCTTGCTAATAGCAAATGAAAAGCTATGATTAGCTCTTCACTTGCTCCTAATACTTAACACACAAAACAACAACAAACACACCAGTGACACTAAGAATGCACAAGTCTCTTTTTTTAGTGGAAATAAAGATGAGTGACATATCAATGAGATCCTTTTGTATATCAAAAACAAAGATCATCATGAAACCACCAAATTCACCCACTATATTGAGCATAGAAAGGCAGTGGGTCAAGTTCCCCTTACTAAACATTCTTAACAATATTTAGTAAGAAGTAAACTATTTTTCCTGGTTGTTCCACAGATAATTTTTCCATAAAATGTTGACATAGAAATAAATATGAAAATCTCCAGCAGAAAATACTAACACAATTATGTTACTTATTTCCCACAAAGAATTATAGTAATTAGAACAATCTCTCTTACCTAGCCTAGGGCATGATTTCTTAAAGTTGTCACAATCGGTACATGAACCAGTCTTGTAATCTTTGTATGAATGACAAGGAAAGGAAATAATATTGCACTTTGTTTCCAAAGCTGCCATGAACAAGTAAACTGCTCTCTGGTGGTTGCATTTAATGAACTTTATTCCTTAAGTGTTAAAAAGCAAGCAAAAGAATTGTAGACGAATTAAATTAAGTTCAAGCAAATCAGAGAAAAATGAAAGATTAAGCTGTACTCAATACTGTGCTTTATGAATTGTTAAAGTGTTTACTACAATGCAGTGTTATCTCGAGCAACTAAATAAACCATACCTATGAAAACTTAAACTTAGTATACCTTTTACATGATATTTATAAGAAATTTTTCCAAAGTAATAATTAACACAGAAAAAAGGTTAATTTCAATGATTTTACAAACTCTGCAAACATGGTGCTGCCACACTTTATAACGAGCATGCCGTCTCTCTTTTCCAACCCCGCAGGCCCTCAGCATTTCTCAGCATTTCTGCTCAGTGTCACAGGGGACCCTGGAATCAGGTGATATTGAAACTGTAACCTGCCCCGCCCCGGCCAGGAGGCCGCGCCGGTGGAGCATCGCCCAGGGCACCAAAAGGGTTAGGGTTCAGGCCAGGTCGGAACACGTGTGGGTGAGGGTTGAAAAACAAAACAAAGCTGTGTCATGTGCCTTTCCTTTGCCAACGTCTCACAGCCTTACTCCTGCCACCAAACGTGCAGTGACATTTAGCGATGCCCTGCCTGGCCAGTTGCCACCGCAGGACTCAGAGCATTTCTCTCGAAGGCTCTGGACTTAGCCAAATCCACCCCTGGAGCAGCTGCTCAGCTGTTTGTGTGCAGGACAACCAAGAGCAAGAGTTCACAAATTTGTGTTTATACTACGGTGACAATGACAGTTAAATTGTAAGACCAGACTTGTGTTATACGATACTTGGTTGGCTACACCTAAGTGATCCTTCAGTGACTTACAACTTTTCCTAATGGAAAAATTATGAACAAAAACTTCTGAAACTATAATGTACTAGGCCTCACCCATGCCCACATGGGATGCCTACTGGTAAACTGTACAAACTAAGAAGGGTAAAATTAAACCAGTTTTCACCGATAACTCCTGACTCTTGGGCAATGGTGATCAAAACCCTGCCCACAGGTTAGGAGGGGGGGAAAGAGTATTGATTTTCTTTCATCATTTTGAATCATATGAAATTCATTTGAAAATACTGTTAGTATACCTGCAAATATTGATTTAGGACAGCCAGGCTGCTTTTTTCCTCCATTTGGATAAAAATCTATATGTCCCAAGGGCTCGTTAATGCCTAAACCTGAGAAGAAAAGCACCCAAGAATCACAAAGTGCATCTAATCAGATCAGCAACACTTGTATAAAATAAAACCTCTTATAAAATCTATTGAAAGAGACTTAAATTTTGAATTGAAAATAAAGTAAACGCAATTTTTAAAAAGATGAATTTTTCTGGTACTAATTCCTCAAATTAATTCCTCATGAAAAGTATGGTTCATTAATTTAACACATTTATCAGTCACCAGTTTACTATGGGCCCATCATAGTTCTTTGAGCTATGAATATAAGCAGAAAAAAAAAAGTGGAGCAATAATCCTTATTGTTGGGGAAGTTACATTCCAGTGGAAGTAAGACATAATATAATAAACGAGTAGAGATACAATGCGTCAGACGAGTGCTGTAGGAAAATTTACTAGAATAAGGGAACCATAAGTGATGCTTGAAAGTGGTTGTTTGCACTTTTTTTTAATCCATTTTATTTCATTGCTTAGAAGTATATGCATCAGTTTTTATAATTTCTCCAAATCTATTTTTTTAATTTTAATTTTAATTTTTGTTGTTGTTTAAAATATACAGATGTCCCTTTTTCTCCCCAATGACCATCCCCCCTTAAGTGATTCATTAGAGCGCTTCTCACTGAGAGCTGAGCCAAGGCTGAAGGGTCACCTGTGTCGCATGCCCGGGCATTGAAAGAAGCCAGGCTAGCCAGGTCACAGTGTGTAAGGGAGCACTGGAAGAAATGAGAGCTGCTCGTCCAGGACCTTTTATTTGAGAGGGATCACTTCCTCTCATTCTGGATAACAATGCCTCTGGCTTGGTGCTAGATTCACAAATGGGAAAAAATCTAAATATGCTGTTTCCGCTGAAACAAGTTGGGCCAGGGTGACATGAAACACATAGCTGTGACTTAAGAGCTTCTGGGCGTCTGTAGATCTTTGGGGTACTGGGAAAAGTGCAAATTCTGGATCCTTTACCAATATGGGGTCTGTAACCCAAGGGAGCCATAAGAATGAAAAGGGTAGCAAGCTCAGAATATTCAGCACTGTGATTGGATATGAAGTTACAATGCTTTGGCTTTGGGCAGAAGAAATATCCTACAACCCAATGAACTCTTAAAAAAAATCAGTAATAAATTTAGCATAACGAAGATAAATACTTAGATCGACAGTAAGTGTTAAGATGACCCTGTAGAAAATGAAAAGAACAGCAGGCCTGTGGGGACACAGCAGTAGATCAGGCACAGCTGCCACAACTGCCTAAGAAGGGTGCATTTCATACTAAACTTGCCAACCACTGTAAGCTTTAATACCATTTCTCAGGGAATTCCAAACATTAATAAAGTGTTGACTATAGTGAAACATTTATTGGGAGACACTGCAAACTAAAAGTAAATTTTGGAAAATGTTTTCACAGGTTGTTAATGGTAATAAGATTTTTGAAGATAAAAAAAAGATGCAACAGCTTGATTTAATTATAGCATGTCACAGAACAAGATAACAACGAGTGAGGTGTCCCCAGGGCCTGAGAACCCTGGGCATCACTGGGCATGTGCATTACGGGGAAGGGAAATCAGCACATATGGAAAGAGAAAGCATGATTTAGACGACTGCATTAGAACCTGTCGGAATTCAGCAAAGCATATGTGGGCTTTGATTGTGACAGGGGAAAGGGTATGCTAACCAGTCCCTCCTTACATTCCATCGTCTGCTTAACTTGTGGAATTTAAGCAAGGATAAACAGCTTCCTGAATATGGTAAAAAAAAAAAAAAATTCTATAAGTTTTGAGATCTTTAAAATTTCCTCATATCTAAACTCAATGTGAAGTTTCAAGACTAAGGGTTCCAGGTTTAGAGCCATCATTTTCTCCAGTCTGCCCCTGAAGTAGAATCAAACCAAGAAGGCTGCTCAGGAATCATGGAGAAGCAAAAGAATTTATCATTAACTTACAAGCTGCTGATTCAGGCATGTTATTTCCCTTTTATCAGATGAAGAGGCAGGGCAGCCTAGTCTGCTTAGGTCATGCATTCCCTTGGCTTCAGGAAGGGCGGGGAGAGCAGATGTGGGTTTTTAATTCTCTTTTATTGTAGATGTAACACATAATGCAGAAAGGAATATAAAGCTAGTGATTATTATAAAGCCAGTAGCCACTTGACACCCATGTCAAGAAATAGCAACTTAGAAGGCCCTACTGTGCCCTAATTCAATCACCAGCTTCTCTCTTTCCTCTAAAAAAACAGCCATCTTTCCTATTAATAAAATCATGTATTTTGCTATTCTTTACCTTCTAAGCATGTCTCCCAGAACATTACATTTAGATTTGGCCATTTTGAAAATGTATATAAATTGACTCATACGTCATGTATGCTTTGTGTCTGGCTTCCTTAGAGTATTAGTAATCCTGACATTAACCCACATTGTCAGGTGAACACGCTGTATCGAAAGTCTCTGTTCCTCATTTGTGACTGTCATAAAAAGATCAACAAAGATGCCAACTCTGTGGTTTCTAGTGGCAACTTAGATCTGATCGGCTGTCTTCCAAAGATGTTGAGCACAGTTGGCCCACCATATCCATGAGTTCCACATCCATAGAGTCAACCAGCTACAGATCAAAAATGTTTAAAAAAATGTTATGTTGTTTCTGACATGTGCTATGCAGTTAGGCCTATGGTAGTTGCATCTCTACCGAACACCACAGACTTTTTCTGGTCATTATTCCCTAAATAATACAGTATCACAACTATTTACAAGGCATTTACATTATATTAGGTATAAGTAAAGTAGATCTGATTTAAAGCATGTGGGACGATGTGTGTAGGTTATATGCATGTACTGTGCCATTTTATATAAGGGACTTGAATAGCTGAGGATTTGGGTATTTGAGGGGGTCCTGTAACCAATCTCCTATGGATACCAAGAGATGACTATATATGACAATCTAAAAGAGTTTATCAGGAAAAGTCAAAAATTCAAACAAAAATAGGAAAAAGTATAAAGAGCTCATTCAAAAGACCATAGGCAGAATAGAAATTGGGGTGTCAGAAAGAGCTCAGACAAAGAGCTTGAGAGTAATTGGGCAGCAGGTGTGCTGTGTGTAGGAATTGTAAGCTGATATAAACAGCTAAAGCTAAAGGAGACTAGAGAGGTTGGGGTTATCGTACTAGAGCTATGAAACTTTGGGCACTGTAAGTGAACTTAGATTCCAAATAAGGAGCAGAATTGCTCCCCATTATAGGCTCAGCCCATTGGCATATAGACATAGAAGTTGAAAAGTTGTCATCTACGGCATTTATGGCATTTATATTCCTCACAAAGTCAGTGGTATGGATCGATCACCATAAGGTAAATCCAGAGGAATATGGGAACAATAAATTACCTGGACCAAAGAAAAAGAAACTCGAGGAAACAGGGAAATAGAGACAGTCTGGGTGTCACTTCCTCCTGTCTCTACCTTAGCACTATAGCCTCCCACGCCACAACCACAGCACACCTTGATTAGCACAACAGGCTGGCACAGTGTAGACTCTGTAACCAAAAGGTTTGATTTCAAATTCTGCCTCTGCCACTTGCNACAGGGAAATAGAGACAGTCTGGGTGTCACTTCCTCCTGTCTCTGCCTTAGCACTATAGCCTCCCACGCCCACAACCACAGCACACCTTGATTAGCACAACAGGCTGGCACAGTGCAGACTCTGTAACCAAAAGGTTTGATTTCAAATTCTGCCTCTGCCACTTGCTGGCCTTGTGACCTTGACCCTAGATTTCCCATTGGTAAAACGTGGATAGTAATGTTTGCTTATCTCATAGGGACTTAGAGGAATTTCATAATTAATTCATACAAAGCAGTTAAAGCATTGCCTGATGTATAGGAAGTGCTCAATAAATATTATTATGATCAGTGACAAAGGGATCAGGGTCATCTAAATTATTCCTTGAAAATGTCTGTCTAGTGTATTCTGGCCAAAACTATCAATAGTCTATTAGACATCTTCAAGAAGATAATTAAAAACAATAAAGATATTCTTCCCCTACCTTTAGGGAAAGGTATCTTCTATCTGGGCCTGAAGTGCTGTGCTCAATTCTAGTTGACATACATCTACTTGAGTGGAGAGANCCCCTACCTTTAGGGAAAGGTATCCTCTATCTGGGCCTGAAGTGCTGTGCTCAATTCTAGTTGATATACATCTACTTGAGTGGAGAGAATGGTAACCTAAATACATTAAGCATGGGGGAAATTGTGATCAAATCAATAACACTGTCAATAGAATGAACAGGATGAAGCATTGTTTTTATAAATTTTAAATTTTTTTTGGATGACATGACAGTTCTTAAAACCTGAAGGAGGAACACCGGAGGCAAAGAGTGCCACTGGACACCACAGGATTTCACTAACTCCCAAAATGGTGCTTGTTGGAAACAGTCACTACATAATTACAGGTGTAACATCACTTCATCTCCAACTCTTTCTCCTCTTAAGTTCTCTTTTTCAAGTGTCTACATCCCTTTTGTTCATTTTCAAATAATTAAGCAATTAAGTCTTGCGCTGTTACCATCGATGTCAGAATGGATGACATCCACAAACTTGGCATCAGTGTAATGCAATCTGCCATTTGATGGTTTTCCAGAGAATTTTGGCNGTAATGCAATCTGCCATTTGGTGGTTTTCCAGAGAATTTTGGCCCAGCAGGGTCAAGTCCTGAAATTCAAGAAAGAAACTATCAATCTATCAGTTATGTCCTGCTGTAGTGTTCATTAAACCATACACTTGCACTATTATTACATCATAAACATAAGCCTGTACAGTTTTAGCTTAAACTTGTCTAAAAACAACTTTAAAGATAAATAAAACTGGGTGAATATCAAGTATCTTTGCTATTTTAATAATACTTTTTACCAATCTTCAGAGTTTATCAACAATACAGTATTAAGTCACACTAGAGATGCTTCAACAAAATATTGTAGTTTTTTTAGCAATTTTATTTAAGAAATAATTATAAAAAATGGTAGAACTTTAATAATAAGTAACTACTACTACTTTTGAGGGGGGGGGAATTAATACCATCCTGTCCTATCTTGAACCTGTGCCTTACTTGTTCATACTGGATCTATCTATAGGTCTAAAATAGTTTGTAAGCATTAGATGCAATTTGGGCTGTGGGATAAAACATATTTATTACTGTTTTATATTTAAATAAACATTTATTTATCATTCACTTCTCACAAAAGTTTACCACACACATAAGAAAAAAATATATTAAAAATTCCATGAAATATGAATATATTTCTGATGCATTTGAAATTCTAGGCTCATGATTCTGGAGAGTGTCAAAAGAGGAGAGAGGAGATAAAAGTCAACATCTTGAGAAGATCTATGAAATGGAAGACACAATCATCTTAAAAATATATTTTAGTTAGTAAAATATAAGGTTGTTTACCTCAGACCCTTCTGTTATTCTTGTTTATTTTGCCACTTACTGAATGAGGCAGAAACTTCTCCCTTCCTATAAATTATTCTGATGTAGAAGCACAACATTTTCTGACCTTGTAAACTTTCATAATTGCTTGGCATGTGGAGCCTTTCAAACTGGTCTAATATGTGAGTAAACACACCTTAAAATAAAATAGGATTTCCACCAGTTGAAACTGAGCTAGCATGGTGACTGAAGAAGAAAGCGCCTTGGGTGCCAGAGATCTTTGTGCAAATCCTGGCTGAGCTGCGCTAACTTTTTAACCCTGTCACATTCATTCGATTAACTTCAGTTTTCATATCTGTATAGTGAGAATGATATTAGAACTGATCAGAGTATGGAAAGTATACTAAAGACCTGTAAACAGTTATCCACATCTCCCCCCCCCCCTTTGCTTAATTAACTTCACTAAGAACTCTATTACCTTTTATTTACACTTGAAATTATTACATATATTCTATGGACATCAATCTCCATAATTTTTAAAAAGCTAAATTGGTTGGGGAAGCATAGTACACACTAGTTCTAAAACCACCTTTATTCCAGCGGCAGGTAGCTACTAGAATTATTGGAGGTGGTCACTTTGTAAATCATATAGCTGCCTAACCACTATGGTGTACACCTGTGAACAACACTGAGCGTCAGCCTCTCACTAAAGAGGTGGAAGCACACTTGCTGTGTCCAGCTAAGCCACTTCTGCCACTGTCCCCAGAAAACTAAAACATGCTGCTAGAAGATGGTGAGCAGAGAGAAAGACCTGTGGTCCAATTTGGGTTCTGTCACTAAAGAGACTGCACCTGGGAGCTAGCAAGGCCATGACGGGCTGCTGTGCTGTGTGGTTGTGGTCCGGAGAACTGAAGGGAGCACCATTTCCATATATCCTCAGAGATGTACAGGGTTCAACCTGTGCAGTCATGCTCTGTGGCCTTATAGCCAACCCAGCCCTACCATAAACGGAAGCCTTCCAATACAAAGAAANGATTTCCACCAGTTGAAACTGAGCTAGCATGGTGACTGAAGAAGAAAGCGCCTTGGGTGCCAGAGACCTTTGTGCAAATCCTGGCTGAGCTGCGCTAACTTTTTAACCCTGTCACATTCATTCGATTAACCTCAGTTTTCATATCTGTATAGTGAGAATGATATTAGAACTGATCAGAGTATGGAAAGTATACTAAAGACCTGTAAACAGTTATCCACATCTCCCCCCCCCCCTTTGCTTAATTAACTTCACTAAGAACTCTATTACCTTTTATTTACACTTGAAATTATTACATATATTCTATGGACATCAATCTCCATAATTTTTAAAAAGCTAAATTGGTTGGGGAAGCATAGTACACACTAGTTCTAAAACCACCTTTATTCCAGCGGCAGGTAGCTACTAGAATTATTGGAGGTGGTCACTTTGTAAATCATATAGCTGCCTAACCACTATGGTGTACACCTGTGAACAACACTGAGCGTCAGCCTCTCACTAAAGAGGTGGAAGCACACTTGCTGTGTCCAGCTAAGCCACTTCTGCCACTGTCCCCAGAAAACTAAAACATGCTGCTAGAAGATGGTGAGCAGAGAGAAAGACCTGTGGTCCAATTTGGGTTCTGTCACTAAAGAGACTGCACCTGGGAGCTAGCAAGGCCATGACGGGCTGCTGTGCTGTGTGGTTGTGGTCCGGAGAACTGAAGGGAGCACCATTTCCATATATCCTCAGAGATGTACAGGGTTCAACCTGTGCAGTCATGCTCTGTGGCCTTATAGCCAACCCAGCCCTACCATAAACGGAAGCCTTCCAATACAAAGAAAATGTATAATTCTAAAAAAAAAATAAAAAAATCACTAGCATTATTTGGTTACCAAATGGGTGAAGTAACTTTGTTAAGGAAATATGAGAGGTACTGGGATCCGGAATCCCTTAAGCTTGAATACCAACTCCCAGTTCTCCTGTCCTTCCAGTAAAATGTTTAAAGGAACTGAAATACATCAAAGTTTGTGGAAATTAAACACAGTTCACGTTAATATTTTTAGCTAATACATGAAAAAAGTTTTATATTTATGGACCAAATTTTTCTCTAGGTTGTTATAACTCCTTCAAATTCTCATGGGGCTGCAGAAGTTGATCTGATTCTTTTCAGTTCTCTAAGGGTAACCTAAGCTCAGTTAAGAACCAAACAAGACTTTAAAGTCTAACTAAAATGAAGACTAGCACTTGAATATAATTTAGAAAAAATAAATATCTGTGCATCATTTTTATGGCTTAATTATATCTATTAAATTTTAAATAAAGTAACTTCTGGTGCTTAAAAGTATGCTGACACATTAATTTTACCAAAACTATTTTACCTGTTATCCTTCCAAGTTGACCTTGAAATATCTTTCCAACAAATCCACTAATATGAGCCCCTAAGCTCATACCTATGAAATGAAAATTAGCAAGAGACGCTCCATGCATCTGCAATTGAAAATGCAGTGTTACAATTTTCATTTCAGACAATCACAAATTTTGCCTTTTGCATCAGTAGTTTAAAGTTTGTTTGTTTTTTTCTAGTTTAACCCATTTCTGGGAGCTAGGGAGTAAGATTTTATACTTTCAAGACAACTATACCTTTGTTCAACTTCTTCCATAAAATACATGATTTTTCTCTATACATTTTTAACAATCACATTACATTTTTATTAAAAAAAATTAAAACCTCTGTCATCTATTATCTAGATTAATATATGCAAAATAACACATTTAATTAATAAAGCATTTTATAACACTAATAATTAAACATTGTTGGATATGTACTTTGTACCAGCTACTTTGACAAGTGCTTCATAAATCTCATATTCAATATTCACAATAGTTCTGTGAGTTACTTACTTTTATCCTATTGCCTAAAACTGTTCCTGGAACATTTGAAATGCTGAGTAAATATCATTTGATCATAAGTTGCCCAAAGCCTCACACACTTATTACTATAAGGGAAAAAGATGGACTTCAAGTCCAGGTCTGTTTAACTCGAAAATATATACTAATAAGATTGTGTCAAAAATTCTTGGAAGACTGAACAGTGTGAATCATCCTCCTCATTTCAGAGATGATAAAATGAGACCCATGGATTTTAAAGGATTTCCCCAGATCACAAGCTGGAGAGTGACGAAATCTGATCTTTCAAACCCAAATTTTAAACACCTTTCCAAGTTCCAGGCACCCCTCCCTGGTGGGGGATGGGGCAAATTAGGGGTTTAAATGAGGGAGAATTTCTTCCCCCACGCTCTCAAGGAGCAAGTCAGGGTCCACTTTGCACAGTGACATGACACATCCGATGGCTTGTGAAAGATGTGAAGCATTTACTTCTAATGAGAAACAAGACTCCAGCTTTCGAAGCTCAAGGTGATAATTTTCTTCAAAATTTTCAGAGCAGTGCCTAGAGGCCTGGGGGAGTATCACTTTCAAGTTTAATGCTACTGATCTTTTCATCCCTTCTCCTTAATGTGCAGCCTTTGCACGCAAAGCCACTCTTAGAAATGTAGCTACTACTATAACTCTTCCTAGATTTTCTATTTCACATCACATTTCCCATACTTTGAGGTACATGTTCATTAGTGAGAGACCCCTGCTGTAAGGAAAAATCAATTATGCGAAGTACAGACCACCCGTGACAGCAGGCGTGTCAGTTACCTTCTCTGTCTCTCTAGAGGGATCGTTCGGTTTTGTCCAAATTTGAGTAGGTAAAAATAACTAGGATAGATGATTTTAGTCAATGATTTTGTTTAATACTTAAATATTGTAATAAAATTTTGTTGTTCCAAATGTATAGCTAGGGAAATGAGGCAGAGAGGTTAAGCAATTGCTCAAAGTCATGCAGATGATGGGATGGATTTGGTCTTTGAAACCCTCCAGTCTGACTCCTAACCACTACATGTAACTACTTCTTGGATGTGTCATCTTGCGTAGCTTACTTCTGCCAACCTTGGAGGCAGGTCTCAGCTTCATTCATATTTGTAGAGCATTTAGGTCCAGGGTTGGGATGGGTGAAATAAATTCAGGACAGTTTTAGGTCATCTTTCTTTACCAGATCAACCCGTATGGAGATCCATGTCTGCTCTAGAGAGAGTTGGTGGTGATGGGCACTCGAGAGAAGGAAGGGTGATATCTTATTTGAGGGATATTCAGGGCCTTGAAACCTGCATTTGAATTGTGTTGTGCTTAACTTCCAAGTCTCTGCTGAAATGATTTTCAAGTTGTTGTTCTCTCATTTTTATCAATTCACACCTGATTTACTACAAACATATTAGCCACACCTTAGAAAAAAATATCTAAAGCATCTAATGATTATATAGTTTATTTCCTATGTCCACATAGAATCACTACTTTATCCTGAAACCTGTATAAATAGAGTTAAAAACTTAAAATCTTAAAAATATTAAGATGAAACACAATAACTTGGTCTTTGGTAATTTTTAAAAAGTAAGATAGGTCATGTCTAAGTATAAAATTATCCATTTACACAAACAAAAACAAAAATGATAGCTGCATACATTAGCATATCAAAGCAGCAATTCCAAATGTTTATGAGAAAAAAGCATCCCTCATTAAAAGTGTGAAAAACATTATTTTATTAACACTGTAGTCTTGCACAACACACTGTATGTTGTATAACATAGATGATAGATAACATTCTAGACTTACCAGCAGCTTCCGAATGCACTCACTCAAGTACACGGCGACTTTCCAGGTGTTTTTAACTGCTCGGTCATAAATCAAAGTTGTAGCGCCCCGGTTCCAGTCTACTACAACTATATTTATATCCTCGTGTTTCAACAAACTCCGTAGGAAGCCCTGAAGCCATGCTGGGATGGAGCCCAGTGGCCTGTACCCATGAATGAGCCAGACTGTTTTCCTACTTGTGTTGAAGTTGACATTAAGTGAGTTATTCCGTTCCAGCAGTGGCTCGGGACAGTTTAGGTTGTTCCTTGTATACATTATCAGAAATATCTCTATTTGGGGATTAAACAAATCTTTGAAGGAATCCTTTATGCTTAGCTGAGAGAACTTAAGGCATGGTCTTTTATTCTCTGAAATGAAAACACAATTCAGTCAAGCTGAGTACTGAGATGGTATTTGATCCCATTCTCGTTGCTCTTGCAAAAAATAGAATTGAACTCGAAGGGTGGGGAAGATTTACTTTCATCAGCACTTCAACATAATTTACTAAGCAACTACAGTATTGATTTGTTGCGGTTCATAAGGACCTCAAAATGGAAAGAATCTACATGTCAATCAAGAGGAATATGGATAAACACATTGCAGTGTATCTCTATAACCTAATACTCCCCAGCCTGTGTATGCAAAGCTTTGGTGAGACTGATAGCATTCACAGAACACAGATTTAAAACTTCTGTAATGAACACTATACACTAGCCAAACGGTGAAAAATGAATAAACTAGGGAAATATTTTCAATAAAAGGTAGGAAAGGAATTAATACCTTACATATAAGAAACTTGGAATGAAAACAAATAGCCCAGTTGAACACAAAGTGAAGGACATAAATATACTTTGCAAAATAAAATATTGCTCATAAATGAATTAAAAGGTACCTGATCTTCTTAAAAATCAAATAAAGATTAAACAACATTACCATGTCATTTTACCATTAAACACATTGACCATCAACACCAATGTATCACAAAATTTTTAATAGTGCACATTTGGAAATCAACTATATATATCGCAACGAGAAACTAGAAAAATAAATTGTGGTGTATCCATAAGATAAGGACTATGTGCAACAATTAATATATCTATACAGTCCATATATACATAGTTATAATTTTATCAATAGTATATGATACTTATGCAGTATACTATAAACACAGATACACATTTGTACACATACACATATTTATTGTAATGGGACTGGTAGGAAACAAACAATTACTTTATTTTTATTTGTAATGATGGTGATAATAATGCAGATTTTTTTTGTATTTTTGTTTCCTGTTTTCTGTATTTTAATATTTTCTGAATGCTCTAGATCTAAACTATTCATTTATTAATTGTATGATAAGGAAAAAATGGCTTAAATTACTTCAGGTAATTAAAAATGATACCAGCCCTGGCCAGTTTGGCTCAGCAGTTAGAGCATTGATTGAAGAGTCCCAGGTTTGATTCGGGCCAAGGGCATGTACCTCGGTTGCAGGCTCCATCCCCGGCCAGGGTTGGGGAGAGTGCGGGAGGCAATCAATTGATGTGTCTCTCACATCAATGTTTCTCTCTCTCCCTTTCCCTTCCACTCTCTCTGAAAAGCAATGGAAACAATGTCTTTGGGTGAGGATTGAAATAAATAAATAAAATAAGATAAAAATAACAGCAAAAAAATAATGTTATTAGCAAAAAGACAAATATATCTAGAACAAAAGGTACTGATTTTTTAAATCCTGTTTGCAAAATTAACAAATTGAGGGTCTGGACACTAGTCTAAATAACTGTATTGTGATTAGAAACTCAGTAGCAGGAATAAAATATTGCATTTCATTGCCAAGTACGTAAGAAGATAATGACTCTAGCAATATTTCAACACAGAGGTACACTGAGAAAGAATTCTAAAAATCTTCTTAGGTTTCAAATTATAGAGGCCGTAAAACTGTTAGAAACATCAAAGACATATGGTGATGCTAGGAACAATAATTCTAATTGTTCTGCTGCATCTCTGAAATATATTTCCATTACAGTGACAGTGACTGTGAAGTGAAGGACAAGGAGACCACATGGACAGAGTTCAGAGGTGTGGGCAGTGTCCTGGGTATGGGGGCTGTGGCCCCAGAGCCTCGAGTAACTCCGAACAAATTCTTTTTCTTCTCATCTCTGAGCCTTGGTTTCTTTAAATAACTCAGTGTTCTAACTTTCTTTGATTTCCAACCCATTCTCAGAGTTGATAACCTTCAGAGCAAGTTAGCCTGCCTTGCAACTTTCGGCATTGACCAAATCAATAACAGAGAGGCCTCAAAACCCGACTATAAAAAGCGACCAACCCTAACACATTCTGGAAAGATTGAACCCTTCTTTCTCTGATGATCCTCTAACACCCCACACTCATCTCAAAAAGCTGCATGAAAACCTCCTTCCTTCTCTTTCCCCATTTCTGAAAACAGAATGTATTTGCCAACAGCAATAACAATCAGCAATAATAATGGTGTATGATCATTAGCAGTGGTTCCATATTAGGAACTGTGCTGCTTTATGTTTGCTATCCTTTCCCTCATTTTATATATGAAGCAAGTGAAGTTTAATGAGATTAAATGACCTGCCCAAGGTCACACAATTAGAAGCAAGAGGACATTTCTGGGTGAAATCTGAAAATCATGGGCATATGTATGGCACATATTTTTATGTAAACAGTTGAACAACATAAATGAGACTATGAGAAGTTCACTAGTTGTTTATTCATGTGTAGTGAAAATGAAGACCTTTGGGGGCCAGCAGAATTCCAGGTACAAGCTATCGACCAACTTGATGCTACAAACACAGAGGTTTGTGTGGCCATAAAGCCAGTTAGGATGCAAATTGTAGGTAGAACTTTAAAATCTCTGAAGGCTAGTGGCAGAAAACAAAAATAGATGTAAAAGTATCTTTTTCTGGTTCTGAGGCAATCAAAGTGCATTTAGAAAATATACAATTATTTAACATGTCCTAAGAAATCAAGACACACAATCAGTAACCAACTCAACAGGGCAAATGTTTGGAGAGCTGTTGAAAATGAAGCTGAATACATAAGCAAAATAAAGTAGGTGTCTGATAAGTCTTCAGAGCAAGAATTCCTAAGCACAGGTTTAAAAATGAGTATAAAAAAATGCCTGGGAATGTTATTCAAAATGTAGCTTCCTGAGGCCATCTCCAGAGATTCATCTGCATTTTTAACTTCGTAGCCCAGGAGATTCGAACACAGATGGTCCACAGGCCACACATGGTGAAGGCTTACACCTGGGAATCATCTGAGAAAATGAACATGGAGGAAAACACAGTGGATTGTTCTAACTAATTGATGCTGCTTTATAATTGACCAAATCACACATTTATGTTATCTCCTTGGAACTGCACATTTTATTTCCATTTAAAAATAAGAAAACTGGGGTTCAGGGAGGTTAACTAATTTGGCCTGGGATAACAAGCCACGAGAACTTGAGTCCCATGTTCTTTCACATTTTCCACATTTTCAGGGAACTTGGTACAATAAATTAATAAATTTAATAAGAATAAATTAATGTTGCTGTGGCACCTGATTAGAGTAAATAGATTGAAATAAATTACTAGTCACATCAGAAATAGTTTTATATAATTTAGAGAAAAATAATGATGAATTTGTTGAGGCCAAAGAGCCCCAAATTCCATGGGTTTTGAAAAGATCATTGCTCTACAAACAGCCTAGTTAGTAAGGTTCTACAAATTTCTATACACTTAAAGTGTGTTTCGTATACCCATGGGCATTACCTGGGAGTGTATTACAGTTCCAGAATCTTGAGTTTCACCTCCAGCCAATGGATAAGCAACTCCATTTTAATTAAGATTCTAGGTGTCCTATATCACATACTGTCTTGTTAAGTTCTACCATCTTAGAAAAATGACTCCATTTTTCTGAATTTCACTTTCTTCAACAGTGAAATGAGAATGAATTAACCTATCTCTTCCAGCTTACTGCAACACAAGAGTTGGCTAACTGCCTTATAGGCCAAATCTGGCTGGTAGGCTAAGAATGGTTTTTACATTTTCAAATAGTTGAAAAAATTAAAATAATATTTTGTAACATGTAAAAAATATAATAAATTCAGGCCTAAAATATTTACTATCTGGCCCTTTACAGAAATGTTTGCTGACCCTTGCTATACTAATGATAGCAACCACAACTGCCATTTAAGCAGTTTGTATGAATCAGAAACAGTAATAAGAATATATATACATATGCATATAACTCGAATGTATATTCATACATATTTATATGGAGATTGTTCAGCTATCTCTCCACTCCTCTTTTATTCTATTAAATTTTTCAAAAACATTTGACTATTTTTCAGAATGTATTTTTCTTTTTTGAAGGCAGATGTAATCATATAATGACTTTCATGTTAGAAGAGTTTGAGACATGACCTCCAAGAAGTATATATCAGAATCTCTAGGGGAGAAGGGAGGAGCACGTGTAATTTGAATAAACATTCTCATATAAATAAATTACTGAAAATTCAACAAAATTTCCTAGGCATGTGGGAATTGGAGGAAAATGCCATTGGAGAACATACTCACCAATGATATATCTGATAAGGGGTTAATCTCCAAAATATATAAAGAACTTATACAACTCAACACCAGGAAGACAAACAATTCAATTGAAAATGGACAAAAGAGCTGAATAGACACTTCTCCAAAGAGGACATACAGATGGCCAAGAGACATATGAAAAGATGCTCAGTGTCACTAATCATCAGAGAGATGCAAATTAAAACCACAATGAGATAGCACCTCACATCTGCCAGAATGGCTCCATCAACAAATCAACAAGCAAGTGCTGGCCAGTTCACTCAGTGGTTAGAGCATCCGCCCATGGACTGAGGGGTCTCGAGTTTGATTGCCAGTCAAGGGCACATACCTCAGAGGCAGGCTCTATCCCCAGCCTTGGTCTGGTCTGGGGGCATGTGGGAGGCAACCAATCCATGTGTCTCTCTCACATCAATGTTTCTCTCTTTCTCTCTCTACCCCTCCTCCCTCCCTTCTACTCTCTCCAAAAATCCATTTAAAAAAAACCTTGGTGAGGATTTAAATAAATAAATCAACAAACAACAAGTGTTGGCTAGGATGTGAGGAAAGGGGAACCCTCATGTACTGGTGGTGAGAATGTAGACTCGTGCAGACACTGTGGAAAGCAGTATGGAGTTTCCTCAAAAAACTAAAAATGTAACTGCCTCTTGACCCAGCTATCCCACTTCTAGGAATACACCTAAGAATCCTGAAACACCAATGAGAAAGAATATTTGCATCCCTATGTTGATTGCAGCATTATTTACAATAGCCAAGATCTGGAAGCAGCCCAAGGGGCCAGCAGTAGAGAAGTAGACTACAAAGCTGTGGTACATATATACCATGCAATATTACATGGCTGTAAAAAGAAGGAACGCTTACCCTTTGCTATGGCATGGATGGACCTGGAGATTGTTATGTTAAGCAAAATAAGCCAGTCAGAAAAAGACAAATACTATATGATCTCACTTACATGTGGAATCTAGTGAACAAAATAAACTGACAAAGCAAAATACAACCAGAGGCGTGGATGCATGGAACAGACTGACAGATGTCAAGGGGGAGGGGTTGGGGGGACTGGCTGAAAGAAGGTGAAGGGATTAGCCAAAAACATATCTGCATTGCTCCTGGACGCAGTTTGGTGAAAGAGGGGAGTTATGGGGGGGAGGGGGAGGGTTGCATGGAGGTAGGCTAAAGGGGGAGGAATGGGGGACATCTGTAATAATGTCAACAAGAAAAATAAAAGAAAAAGAAAATTCGAGAAAGCATGAGTTTGCATGGGTTAAGAATGATTTTGAGACTCACTGAATTCTTTTATTTCCTTATTTCCTATTTACTGGTAATAACTAAAAGGTCTATTGTTCTATGCAGTCAATAGAGACAGAAGCATACTTAGAATTATATCTGAGTTTTCCCAATGGAAAATATAGGCAACTGCCTTAACTAGTAACAAAAACAAATAATCTCAGAAATTCAGCCATATAAATTTGGTGTATACACTGTGATATTAAAATGCTATAAATCATGGTATGACAAAGCTTAGGAGCCTAAACTTTAAATTTCTCTGACTTTCAAGTTAAAGTACTACTATTATACATTACAGAAACATAAAATGCCTATCAAGAAACTTCCAAATGAGTAAAATATAAATGATAAACTGTATATCAGAACCATTTAAATTCTGTACTTGAATTTTGGGAGTTCAGACACCCTAAGATGTGGCTCTGTGGTATTCAGATTGTTTGAGCTAAACACAATCAAGATCCTGTAGGCTCAAGGGAAACTCCTACCCCCTCCCATTAACTACCTAGAGGAGTTTGAATTAGGGGACTTGCCTATAATAAGAGATTGTCTAGAGGTAACCTTTATTTTAAACCTATCTTCTAATTCCTGAACAGCTGATCTTATCACCTGGGGCCCAAGGTGCCTTACCTGGTCCTTAGCTTAGAGCGTCATATATGCCGATTTCCCCTCTGCCTTTGACTCTCTCGAGCATGCAGGGTCCCCAGGCATACAGACGCATTAAACTTGGTTCTGTTCTCTCGTTCGTCCGTCTCAGGCCTATTTGATTTTCAGACCAGCTGGAAGAAACTTGTGGGTGGAGGAGACTTTCTTCCTCCCCACAAAATAGAAAACTCAAACATTCCCCAAATTTATAATTAGCTCACATAGTTCATGGAAGAGAAACAACAAATATCTTGAATTTTTAGATTATATTTTTAAGGTTACTCAAGTATAAAGTCATGAAGTTTAAAGAAATCAAAACACAGACAAAAATCGGCTTAACAAGAAAGCTATTCATCATTAATTTTAAATTTGTTACTTTAAAGTAGAACAAGTAGTTCTACTTTATTGCCATAAAGTAATAAATATTATTAAAATTAGGAAACTTTATTACCATAAGCTACTAAACCAGGTGAAGAAAGTTCTGCTTTATTACCATAAATCAGTTTTGGTTTTGCTTTAGCACAATAGGACCAAAAAAAAGAAAAAGAAAAAGAAAGTTTGCTTTGCAATTGACAATATACCTGTATAAAAATTTCCCTCAAAAGTAGGATTATTTGAACAAATAAAACTGAAACAAAATGTTTATTATGTCAGAATTTTCAAATATTGAATTTACCAAAACACACATACACACATGTACACATTCTTCATAGTAACCCGTTGTATGGCATTTGTATCCATAATCATAGTGTATTTTTTCATATCATCAGCATTTTATATATCACAAAACAGACCATGCTGATTATTTTATACACAATTTTTAAAGATAATCCAAGTTATCGAGCTCTTACCAGATCTTGCCCAGCACATCAAACAGAGAAATACGAATACTCTCATTTGGAATCTGATGAAAGAAATTCTGATATTCAGCGAGGTTTCTCTTTGGTAGGACTGTCACAGTCTGGTAGCTTTTAATGTAAAAGATCCCTGACCTTTTGCTCCACCCTGTTTGTTGAAAAGGTGAGGTAGTTTGTTTTACCGAATTAGCCTGTGGTTGTGAGAAAGATTTTTAAGTCAAAGACTTTGTAATAAGTCACAAACATTCAACTACACAAGTTGAATTTAAGGGCAAGAAAAACTAATTATATCTGTCTTTACTCCTCCTGACCTCAGGATTTCAGAAGTGGTTAGGAGGAACATATCTGTTGAAAGCCTGGAGCAAATGTGATGTTAGCAAATGCTAGAAATGGAAAGAGTCAGAAAAAGTTGTGGTTTTATGTTAATTTTGATTATAAACTAAGTTGTCTTTATACACCATAAAATCAATAATGAAATCCATATCCATAAAACTGTCAAGTATAAATATGGTTTTTTCATTCTTGTCATTTTGCAACCCAAACTCAGGGGCTATTTTAAAACTCAAAATGCTAGCCTGCCTCTCAAGATCTACAATTGGAAAATAAAAAATATTTCTGTTTTTAGTATAACAAACATTTAAAAAAATTATTACAGGTTTTAGTTTCATGTTTACTTAATTTTCTCTTATTTTCCTTCCAGTAATGGGCTTCAGTAGGTAAGAAATATAGAGAATTGTTCTAAATACATGCATTATAAGTTCAAAATTAAATTTGGTTTTGGAAATTTAAGTCTGTAAATTTCCAAAGATACTTTAAGAAGAGAAGTGTTTAATTTATATCATTGATCAACAGAAACCAGTCTGAGGTTTGGGGAGGTGTTTCAGAGGATTCACAAAGAGAATGAGTTATTCATTTAAAAATCATGAAAAATTTAATTGCTGCCCAGCCGGGCATGGCTCAGCGGTTGAGCGTCGACCAAGGATCCAGGCGATCGGGGTTCGATTCCCGGTCAGGGCACATGCCCGGGTTGTGGGCTCGATCAATGACTCTCTCATCATTGATGTTTCTTTCTCTCTCTCCCTCTCCTTTCCTCTCTCTGAAATCAATAAAAAAATATATTAAAAATTTTTTAAAAAGAAAAAAAAAGAAAAATTTAATTGCTAAGAAGCTTCATCATTATTTTGTGAGACTTCCTTTTTAAAAGGGTGACACCATTAATT